ATTAAGAATACGTTTATGTAATTATCTATCTATATACAAGTATTAAGATAAGCTACAATATTTTAACGACTTTGACTATTTATTTTACTAAAATGTGTATTATTTAATAATAATATAAAACTAATTATATTTTTTTATGTTAGATCAACATATCCACGAGTAAATGTACGCTTTATATATCAGATAATCCATGTACTTGCATCTTGAAGTCGACAACGTGTCCAATTACTAAAGTTTGTATACGAGGGGAATTAGTAGGGGTATACAATTAACTAGGAGAGGGTGCCAATAGCAACCCCTCACTTAGAAGTTAAAAGAATATATTTGTGTATCAGAATATGTCCAATTAAAATATGTATTTAATAAGTTCAACTAAAACATAAGTTTAATACACCAAAAAATAGCAGATTGTGTTTTAGACCGGGCAATTAAAGCCCGATCTTTGCACACAAAAAAAAATTGTTAATATGGGAGCATCGGGTGGGTTCGGACCCTCATGATATCGGGGTAGGATTTGTTCGGATAGGACGGATTCGGGTTGTATGGAAGTGGCCTCTTGTTTTTTTGGTGTTGTCCTTATACATTTCATGACTGCAATTGTTGGTCTTTTGAGCCATTTTTTGATGGCATAATTTGGTACCTGTAAACTCTGCTAATTGTTAAGATTTAGTAATTAAACAGAAAGAAATTAAAGGTAATGGTACTTACCGTAGATTGAATAAGAAAATAATATATGTAAACTATCTTTTGTTTAATAGCCAAGTATGCGTAGGACAAACATCTAATGCAAACCACAAGGGTGGTGCCTGATTGGTTTGAGCTTGGCTCCAAAGGTCAAAGGTACCAGGAGGTCACATGTTCAAATCTAAGAAGAAATAAAATTCCTCTTGTGGCCACGGAGGTTCAAATACGGTGACTCCGGGCTATCTGTAAAGCATGTGGTCGTCCTGAGCTTAGTCGGCTCGCATAGCGGGTTGGATATCGAGGTTAATAAAAAAAAAACATCTAATGCATGCATGTCTACCATGAAGAAATTAACATTATTTTGTCCATGTGAGGTAAGCATGCATGGGAAAAACATGTCATGATCCATGTGTGATTAATAATTACTAAAATATTTAAATGGGCTTAAAATTCGTTCGGGTTTTGGGGCGGGTTTTGCGGGAAGGTATGCAAATCCAACTCGGAACCTACAATCCTACATAAATTTCAGTTTTCGGGTTTTATTAATAATCGGGTGTCGGCTTTTTCCAAAAAAATTGGTTCAGATTGGACGGGGTCATTGGGTTAATTTAGATTTTGCGCTCCCGACTTGTTATAATCATAGATTTGGACAATTGAAGCCCAGGCGCAACACTCGGAACCCGTTAATTTGGCTTGGACAAGGCAACTAGATATTCATTTCAACGATTAACATCATCAATTTGAAAGTCAAATTGGACAACTGAATTCTAATCTCAACTCCTGAAACGAGCCATTCGTGCATCAAATTAAACAGCTAAAACCTTATATCGATACTCAAACCGAGTCATTCATCTCTTGTGTTGACCAAGTAACAATACATATAAAGTCTATTTGAGTGGTTTTTTGGAAATAATGTATAGTTGTGCCTTTCAGCTTTATCTTCCATACGGTGGCTTACTGGTAAAAAATTTAACACTATCATTTACTTACCATGTAAGATTTTAGTCCAAAAAAACGACATCGTATGCAACAATTTACCCGGTAAACGCTTACTGTGGTAAGAGTCATCACCCTCACTTACTGGGTAAGACTCTTGGTGATTGTCTCGATCTTACCGAGTAAGATTCTTGGTTTTTATCATATTCGTCCGGAAAAGGTAATGCGACTTGGTAAACGCTTACCCTGATAAGCGTTTGGTAAACAACCTCTTAGTCAACATCAATGTTGCAGTTTAAGCTCCTTAAAGCTTGCCTCCACCAATTCTAAATCATGAAAATTACAATTTCAGACTCTTTTTATCGGGTATGACAGTCTGAATTTATTGATGGCTCACATCCTTGTCTAAAAACCATTTTTCCAGAAACAACAACACCAAATTCGACCCATCACTGTCTGGACCAGACAAAAACAACTTATTTTGAATACCATAATTGGTTCTCTATCTCCATTTTTTTTTCAACAAATGAATGTAGTATTTACAGATAGATTAAAACAGATGGATAAGCGAAAAACAAAAAAAAAAAAAACAGATCAAAAAGAGGAAGATCAATGCAAGGACCAAAGGCGATAATGAGCAGTGATGTAGAGCGCACAAAGATGGCTCGACGAGGGATGGTGAAAGGAGCGATGGCTTTGGGTGCGGGGTTAAGATGGTTAATTTAATCAAAAAACAAAATATTTACAGACCTAAGGGTTTGGTTGATTTTCTATTAAGTCATGTATGAATAAAACTATTTATGTGAATTAATCTGTTTGTATAAATTGAAAATGTTTTTTTCATTAATAGAAGGAGCATATTTGGAAAAAAACTCGACTTTTTACATAAAATTCACTGATAAACTTACAGAATAACGATTTTATATATCATTAAGCTGTTACCAAACAATAGTATATAACTTTTGGCATAATTTATTTATTAAATTAATAAAATCATCAAAATTTATTTATATCTATACTATCTTATAATGCATTTGGCTAAAACTCTTAAACTCTTAATCTCTTAAACTCTTAAAAACAACCTTTATTGCCAATAGTACAATTCATTAAAGCGATCCCCAAACCCAACTTCTTAACGCATTCATCGGCCCTAAACCCAACTTCTTAACGTTTTCATCGGCTCCAACAGACTAAGATTGAGATGAAATCGAATCCAACAAACTCTCCCCTATCGATTTCAAGATTTTGATAATGATATCGACTCACTCTCCCCTATCGATTTCATCGGTTCCAGATTTCATCGCCATCCCTAAAACAAATTTGATCGTCATTTTCTTCAATATTGCTTCCATCGTCTTCTTCAATCTTCCAGGTAAACGTTTAGGGTTCTGTTAGCTTAGGGTGTTCTCGAATCTTCTTCGAAATCTGACCTGTGTTCTCGAATCTTTTTGTAGGTTCTTCGAAATATGATATGTCTTCCATCGTCTTCTTCAACGTTCAATCCATCTCCAGGTAATTATTTGGTTTCTTTTTACCATTCATGTACAACTCAGAAATCAAAATTTTCAAATACCCATTAGGGTTTATGGAGTCAAGATTGGGCAAA